TCCACTCATCTTAAAGTGGCCAAGTTTGGACAACACTGCCTTAACATAATATTTTCCTCATATCTTCATTCAGTTCTGCTTGTAATTGTTTTTGATTTTTCATTAATTATATATAATACTTCTTAAACCAGTTCTGCATCATATTCTAATGACTATAATCAGCAGCTTTTGGCCCACAGAACTAAATGCATCAATTGTTACGTAGCAACCGTGCAGACATCCCTTCTAAAAGTTAATGGATTTGTGTGGAATGGAGGAACTGAGGCTGGAATCCTGTATTCATTTACCTAGAGGTAAACACTGTTGAATTCATTGAAAGTAAATACGTCTCCTCCACTAAAGAGCAACTAGAGTTTCATTTAAATAAGTATTTAATCCAAAACATTTTCCTATGGCTATTCTTAGCTTTTCAGTTGAAATAGTTTCCTCTCCTGTATATACAGGAGTGACATCTTAATATTTTCAACTTTCTTTTTTTGTAATTGTAAATTTGTAATCATCCAGATTTCTTTTAAATCTTAAAGGTTCACCACCGCAGTCTGTCTCCCAGACCTTCAATCACTGGCATCTTATCTGAACAAGAAATATTACAATAACTTTTAATTAGATCAGCTACTGCTTAAACTTTTTATAATCCAAGGGACAGATTAGAAGGAAATTATGGCCGTAGTAAAATGTTGGACCTACTGTGTACATAATGAAGTCATTTCTCTGGTTCATTCTACTTTTTTGCAAATATTTAATTGGAGGGGAGGAAATAATCACAGGGACAGTAGTATGAAACCAAGCCTAAGGCTTATTCACTTGGATTTTATTTTAGTGAGCAATTGCTGGAGATGCAAAACAGGCTACTACCGGGAGAGAGAATTTGCAGGGCTAGGGACACTGATAACAGGAAGATTCAGAAGCTGTTCTTGCTTGCTGAATGGAAGGCATATATGCAGCCCCATTTCTGGCTTCTGCGTGTTCAAATGATACCATACTGTGCCAATTCATGGAGCTCCAGGTGGCTGAAAGCTTCCCAGGGACAGATCACAGTGATATCTGAAAGAAAGAAAGGAGAACCCACATCGGTCCAACCCTTATTGATTCTTGCTAGCATCAGCTTTCTGATGAGATGGAAAATGTCTTCAGAGCCTGTAAGATGTTTGAGAAATCAGACAATGGAATGGAATCGTTATCAGTCTTTGAGTCTCTTTGGAATGGTACTGAGAGCTACAACCACCTTATTGCCATCTGGTGTAAATATCAATGCAGATGTTACATTTTATATGATACATGGCAATACGGTACTTTCATATAGGCATCCAAAAGGATGGAAGGCCGAATGGACTACAACAGTTTTCCCCAGCCAAAGAAGTAAGGGCATTTTAGAAAGGAGACAGACTGAAGGTAGCCATTTCCCTGTGATTCAAACCTCTTGAGGACACACAGGCTTGGTTCATTGTACATTAAAATTTAATGTGTAATAATGGCATATGTTATTATGGATTGTGTGAATCCAGCCAATTACGGTTTATTCAGTAACTCTGCTTAAGCAAAACATGGCTTATTGTGTAGCATAAACCCAGCTGCAGACATGAAGTGCTTTTATAGGCATTTATGGGAGGAAAAGAATACCAGGAGTGCATGTACCTCTGACAGTACTTTTGTAATAGGATGATAATCAGAGAGATGCTTATAGTGTTCCTAAGGCTATACGGTGCTTTGGATTCATTCTCCAAAAGGTACTTTGGCAGGTGCAGGAGCACAAACATAGCATTTGTCGGGCTGCAATAAGGTGTTCAGAGAGGTGCTACATTCACACTCTCGCACATGCCGAAACAACTTTTGGAGACTGAATCCAAAGCACTGCTTAGCTCTACTTGTTATTGCAACATACAAATCATACTTCAGCATGATGTCTGGCCCCTTCACATTGGTACAGATACAAAGTTCAATAAAAAAAAAAGAGCCATATGCAGCTCAGTGCTACTAGGCTTCATATAGGTTGATCTTCTGTGCTACATATACACCCTCTCTGCCAACACTCATAAGTCTGTCCAATAATCAAGAGTAAAAGCATCTTGGATATGTTTTGAACTGCTGTCTCTGAAGCCATGTACTTCCCTGAATGGTGATCCTTCCTAATCTCCCCCAAAATCCAAATGCTGTACAAGAACCCCTCAGCTAGCTAAATCTAATGCTGCTGCTGCAACCCTGGATTAAAAAATTCTTGAGTGGAAAGTATCAGGACACCCATGAAAGCAAACTGCTTGAAACGGTCTTGTCTGCACCTGCCAGGCTGGTGATCCTTCCAGCCATCATGCAAATCAGCTAAGAGGAATCAGTGGGATTGTGTTGGCTCTGCACAAACCTGCCTACTAGATAGGGATTCCCTGTCGTTTGGAGTACATTCTAGGGATGATGCATCCTAAAACAAATAGGTAAATATATGTTGGGTATTAGATTCCTTTTATGCAGTCTGCCCAGAGAAGGCTTGTTATAAAAAAGAACAGAAATATAACTCTCAGAATATGGTGAGAGAATAAAATACCAGGAACAAGGAGTTCACAGCTTCTGGTAGGCCCTCTGAAGGTGTAGTAAACTACCCAGGAGGCTGATAAAATTTAGAAGAGGAACGCAAGCATCTAACAGCAGAAATGTTTCAAAGCTGTGCTTGACACAGCTGGATCTGCCTGTAGCAATGCTGAGAAGGGTAAACTGCAAGGGACCTGCAGAAGCTTCACTTTCTCACTTCAGTTAATGTAACCAATCAATCATTCATACCTGTTCCCAAGCCTTCCATGCCAGGAATGTCATCACCAAACCTACAAGAGAAAAATAAACTCTCTTACTAAATATTTCGCTTCCGCGCATCGTCACTCCAAGCCATGGAAATATTACCTCTTTATTTAGTTGTACATAGGTTGGGTGAGAAAAAGGCTTTTAATTGTTTCTGACAGAACAGAATGTTACGAAGACATCATGTAAGGGAGCTCAGGAGTCAGTCTGCACCTGCCCTGATTAGGCTCTTATGGACACACACACACAAATATCAGCCATTTGTATGCATATACACGCATGGATACTGCCTAGGGCCAATATTGATGAAGGGATTTGAAAAGAATTCCAGAAGCCATGTTCTGCATGCTTGTTTGGTGTTTCCAGTCCAGTGGAATTTTGGAAAGAAATTACATAAAAGGACTTAGAACTCTATCTACCAGCAGGATAAATCTTTGAAAACAACAGAAATGGATCAAGTTGGGTGTGGCAAGAGGAGCCGATCAAATACAGGTAGTCCTCGCTTAACAACCACAACTGGGACTGGTAACTCCATCACCAAGTGACATGGTTGTTAAGACATCATGTGACCGTGATGGATTTACGAGCTCACTCCAATTACAGTCGTTAACTAAATCAGTCATTGAGACGTGACCACAACTTGCAGTTTTACTGCTGGATTCTCCATTGATTCTGCTTGTCAGAAGCCAGCTGTGAAGTGTGCAAATGGCGATCGTGACTGTGGGACATTCTGATGGTCATAAATGCCTGCCAGTTGCCAGGCACCCAAATTTCTATCACGTGACTATGGGGACACTACAATGGTCATAAGCACGAGGACCAATCATAGTTACTTTTTCAATGTCATAATTTTGAGCGGTCACTAAACAGGGCAGTGATTAAGCAAGGATTACCTGTAAAGTTTTTATTAAATAATGGGCCAGATCTGGCTGAAGGTTGTGGAGAAAATTTTCATTGGAAAAAAAAATTCCCCAATGCACTTCTATGGGAGAGGCAGCTGGACAGCAGCTCAGAATGCTGTAGACTGCGCCATTCTAAGCTCCCTGCCTCTTGGTCATGTGATTCAGAATGGACCACATCCAGCTTTGTATTTCCCAATGTATGCATACAGAGATGCAGTATGAAGGAAGAACAGAAACACGTGGACGTGCACAAATAAAAGCAACACAATATACCTTAGCCTTGATTTGATCCTCATGGATGCACAGGTAACACATTTGCATGCACCCTGTTCAGTCCCTAGGGAGGAACTGCACCCAAATCAGATAGCTCCTATGAAGGAGAAGTCACACTCTGCATTTTTCTCTACCTTGTTATTTTTTCCACCCCAATAGAATGTTGGAAAGAAATTATGCAAAAAGATTTGGGACCTTGTCCATCTACCCATTAGCAGGATGATTCTCCAAAAAGTAAACAAGACCAAATTTGGTGTGGTGGGGGAGAAGCTGGCAAAAGAAAGATCAAGTTTGAAAATGGGTGAAATCCAGCTGGGAGCTACGGAGAAGAAAAATCAGAAAAATAATATCCCAATACATCCCTACGGGAGAGGCAACTGGGTAGTGACTCTGAACATTGCCAACCCCTTGGTGTTCAGCCCGTTTCCCTCTTCGTTCCCAGTTATGTGATCCAGAGCAGAGCTATTTCTAAGGAATTGGAAAGACTTTCAGAAGTCATGTTCTGCATACTGTCCCTACCTTATTTCATTTGAATGATTATTCCCTTTTGGACATCTATGACAGGCACAAAGCCAGCTTAAAAGTTCAGGGGAGACAAAAATAGCAGAGGGAAGTTCATCTGGGTTGTTTGTTGCTTTAATATACTCTCAATTTGAGGAAAAGAGAAAACGCAGGGGATGGGGGTTTCCAAGGTCATCGTTCTCCTGGCCTAGAGGCCTGATCTACTGATTAAAATAATAATGCAAAAAAGAACTTTCTACAAGGGGAAATGAGCAGAGTTACCACAGGTTCTTTGATGACACAATACTAAGTGACAATCCATACTATATCATATGGTATAATGTAAAATTAGAAATAATCAGTGTTGTGGAGCTTTGCTGAACAGAATGTGCAGCAATTTGAGTTTCAGCCCTTCTCCTCACCAAACCACACCACAGTGCCTTCTCCCTTCTAAATTCTTTAGTATGTTAAACAT